CTTTCTTTCTTTCTTTCTTTCTTTCTTTCTTTCTTTCTTTCTTTCTTTCTTTCTTTCTTTCTTTCTTTCTTTTTCTTTCCTTTCTCTCTCTCTCTCATCTTCCTTCTCCCCACCTTCCTCCTATCCATCTTCTTCTCTCTTTCCTTTTCTCTTTCTTTTCTTTCATTCTTTCCTTCTCCTTCCTTCAACTTTTCCTCTCGCCCACCTTCCTCCCTCTTTCTTTCCTTTTCTCTTTCTTTCCTTTTCTCTTTCTTTCCTTTTCTCTTTCTTTCCTTTCTTTCTTTCTCCTTCCTTCAATTTTTCCTCTTGCCCACCTTCCTCCCTCTTTTTCCTTTTCTCTTTTTCTTTCATTCTTTCCTTCTCCTTCCTTCAATTTTTCCTCTCGCCCACCTTCCTCCCTCTTTCTTTCCTTTTCTCTTTCTTTTCTTTCATTCTTTCCTTCTCCTTCCTTCAATTTTTCCTTGCATTTTTTCTTCCTCTTTTCTTTCTTTTTCTTTCTTCTTTTTCTTTTTTTTCATCTTCCTACTTTCCTCCTATCCATCTTCCTCCCAATTTTTCTTCCTTTTCTGTCTTTTTCTTTCTTTTCTCTCTCCTTTCTTTCTCTTTCTCTTTTTCTCTCCTTCCTTACTCATATCATCCCCTTATCCATCTTCCTCCCTCTTTCTTTCCTTTCATTCTTTCTTTTTTCTTTTTCCTTCCTTCAATTTCCCCCCCACCTTCCTCCCATCCACCTTCCTCCCTCTTCTTTCTTTTTCTTTTTTTCTTTTTTTCTTTTTTCTTTTTTCCCCTTTTTTTTCCTTTTTCCCCTTTCCTTTCCTTTCGTTCTTTCCTTCCCTCCCCTCCCCTCCCCTTCTTTCTTCTCTTCTCCTCTCCTCTCCTCCCCTCCTCTCTTCTTTCTTTCTTTCCTTCCTTCCTTCCTTCCTTCCTTTCTTTTCCTTTCCCCTCCTTTTTCTTACTTTTCTTTCTCCCCTTCCTTCCTTCCCTCCCTCTCTCTCATTTCCCCTAAAAGGCCATTCTTCTTTTTTCATTTCTTCCAAGAAAACAGTGACACCCAATTAAAACTTCCCCCTCCCTGACGCCCTTTTTATTCCCACCAGGAACCCCGGCCGTGGGTCTAAGGTGGGAAGGGGGGGGGCGATCGGGGCTGCACTGGCTTGGTTAGGACCTCAGATTGATCACCATGCGGAGCCATCAGAGGGGAGCACGGTGCCCCCTCCCCATTTCCCCCCAAAGTGGACTCCCTGCCCCCGCACCACCACCACCCCCCCCTGCCAGGGGGGGGGGGAATGACCCCCGTTTAGCTACCTTTCCACAGAGGTAGACTATGCTGGAATCAGGGTCGTAAAAGGGGAGGAGTACCCCGTTGCTAGTGTCCATCTCCTGGAGGGCGATGGGCTCCTCGAAGTTCTTCTGCAAAGACCAGGAAAGGAGTCAGGACCCCCCGACCCCTCCCCCAGGCCCACTCCAAGGCCCATGCACGCAGCTGGGGGTGGGGGGGGAGAACCCAAGGCTGATCCCCCCACAGCCACATTTCACCCCCTAGAATCACCCGTGACGCCAGTTGTAGCTCAAAACGCTCCCCTTGGGCTCTATCCTGACCGAAGGTTTCCCCCAGAGGACATCTAGTCTGACCCCCTCCCTAATCTCCTGCCTCTTAGCCTTGCGCATCCTAACTGACCCCCCTCCCTCCATTCACCTGAGCCGCAGTGCCCCATGGGTTGCACTCGGGATGCTCAGCCCTGGGCCCCTTTTAAGACCTTGTGGACTTCAACTCCCAGAAGTCTGGCTGGGAGAGGTGGGGAATTCTGGGAGTTGAAGTCCATAAGTCTTAAAGGGGCCAAAGTTTGAGAAGCCTGGGCCGCAGAGACTATATCGTCCATTCCTAGTCCCAGTCCCTATTTTTGAATGCCCCCCATCCTCTTTTTGCAGCCCCCACCCCCCGTCCTGGAAGCACAGCACACCCCCATGCACCCTTCCATCCCCCCCACCCCACCCCCGGGGCCCCAAATCCACAGCAATCGGACTCTGGGAAGCAGGCATTGTCCGGGGACGGACCGAGCGGTCAGAAAGGGAAGTCATGTCTCCTCGGAGCTTCCCATTGAAGCTCTTTGGCCCCGGGATCACCTGGTGGCCTCCTATCCAAATGTTAACTGCTGTGGAGTCAAGGTGGGCTAAATGCTGCCCTCTGCTGGACACTCGGAATCTTGACCAGATGGGCAATAAATTTGATTGACACCTGACCTGCTCTCAAAAGCCAAATCCGGTGTAAGGTTATGGGAAAAGGAGACCTTGCGAGTAATTGTCTCAGTTTATGACCTTCCTCGCCACAGTTGCTAAGTGAAACACCACAGTTCTAAAGCCAGTGGCATGGTCAGTAAGTGAATCTGGCTTCCTCCCTGACTTGGCTTGTCGGGAAGGTCGCAAAAGGGGATCCCGTGGTCACCCCGGGATGCTCTGACCGTCATAAATGCGAGTCAGTTGCCATGTGTCCAGATTCTGATCACTTGAACACGAGGAGGCTGCAACGGTCGTAAGGGTGAAAAATGGTCCTAAGTCCTCTTTTTTTCAGTGCTGTGGTAACTTTGAACGGTCATTAAATGAATGGTTGTAAGTCGAGGACTCCATGTCTTTGGCTTAATTGCTGAGTTCAATTCAAATGTTCGGCTTCAACATCTTTACAGGGCTGACTTCCATGGGGACCTCTGTGTGTGTGTGTGTGTGTGTGTGTGTGTGTGTGTGTGTGTGTGTCTAAATTTCTGTATGTGCAAATTTNAAAGCACTACTGATAACCAAAGATAAGCTGATTAAAGATGCTGATGGAGGGTATCGAGATTTTACAAGATATGTAACAAGCAACAGGCTGCGAAGAGAAGTCCACACAAATTTGATTAAGGAAATAACTAGAAGACTAATTCCACAAATGGCAAAAGAAATAGGACTACACTATTACTGGAAAGACACAGGTTGAGATATGGGAATTAATAACAAAACACTAGTTAAATGTAGTCAAAATTAAAGCATTATGTTAAAAATGAAGTGATAATGGATAAAGCTAGATAAATAATTGATAGTGTATATCATAATATCATAATAATGTCCACATACGTATTGGTTGATAAGGGGAAATTTGGTATAAATTTTAAATGGTGACCATGAAAGGAAGTTTAAAAACTCTGTTATGTATGAAAGCCTATAATACAACAATGATAATAATGTTATAATTGAATTGATATGATAAAAGGGAAATTGGACATAAATTGGAACTAATAATAAAGTACTAGTTAAATGTAGTTAAAATTAGAGCATTATGTTAAAAATGAAGTGATAATGGATAAAGCTAGATAAATAATTGATAGCGATAACAATGTACACATGTGTATTGGTTTGATAAGAGGAAATTTGGTATAAATTTAAATGGTGACCATGAAAGGAAGTTTAAAAACACTGTTATGTATGAAAACTTATAATATAACAATGATAATAATCTAATAATTGTATTGACATGATAAAAGGGAAATTGGATATAAATTGTAAACAGTGATTAAGAAAAGAGGTCCAAAAATTTTGTTATCAGACATAATTAATTTTTATTTTGAATGTGTCATAAAGATATAATGTTGCTGGAGGATATTGAAAATAGATAATATAATGCCATTATGTGGTTTTGTTTTAAATTTTGGAATGTATGTTATAAAGGGACGTTAAAACAACTATAGTCATACGAAGGATGAAGTATAATGATAGTAATATATATAAATATATTGGATATAAAATATACAATTTGATATGAATCATAGGTGATGACTGTGGAAGAGATGCACGAAAGTTTTTTGTAACCAATTGACACACTTTTTACAATTTGTAATGGAAGATGTTTTTATAGTGTTTGTTGTGTCTTGTTTGTTTGTCTTTATTCAAAAATAAAAAAAATAAAAAAGAAGTGCATATTTGCACTTAAAAAGGTCTGCGCATGCACACACCATTAAAAAAGGGGGGATTTCATTTTTTCAATGAAGATTGTTCTGCGCATGTGCAGAACAGAAAATAAAGATGATAGCACCCAGGATAGAACTGGTGTCCGGCCGAGTTACTACCTATTCGGCTGAACAGGTCCAAACTGATAGGAACCCACCTCTGCAACCACTTTAGCACATTAGACATGAATATCTATACTGACATATAAGTGTCCTCCTTGTAGAATTGATCACCCATAGGAAGGTGGGGAGGGGGGTTGTTTTGTTTTCACATCCTGTTACTCTAACATTATCTTTCCAATTAGAGAAGCTGGCATACATGATGTGTGAGGCATTTTCCCAAATCAATTGTGTGAGAGCTCTTACAAATGCCAAATTCCATCATCCTTAATTTGGGGTGATCTGCTAATATAAGAAATATGACTGAACAAAAATAATTTCCCCTGTACAATTTCAAAAATGCAAATCGCTTTTGAACCACAATAAAGATTAAATATTACTAATTGTATTAGAAATTCAGGTTGTTCAGTAAAGGTTGATTGGTTATGTGCTATAAGGTCATTTTGAAAGCCCACCTATTAGATATTAGATTTGTTCTTGTCACTTTACAATATGAATGTCATTAGAACTGCGTGAAATAGGTGGAATGATCAACTCCATAGCAGTTTAAAACACCCAAAAAGACTATAAGTTGCAAAATTTCTCCCCTTGTATGATTTGGGGGGGGGGGACACTACTCAATTTTCTTTTCACTGAGCAGTTGTCTTATCTGAGGGACTAGAAATGGTTTGCTTCATATTCATGTTAAACACTGAGGTTCCATCCTATCTTTAAATCTAATGAGGATGACAAGATTTCATGAGCCTTGAATGTCCGAGGTGAAAGAGCTGAGGTGGCGCAGTGGTTAAATGCAGCACTGCAGGCTACTTCAGCTGACTGCAATTCTGCAGTTCGGCTGTTCAAATCTCACCGGCTCAGGGTTAACTCAGCCTTCCATCCTTCTGAGGTGGGTAAAATGGGGACCCGGATTGTTGTTGGGGGCAATATGCTGACTCTGTAAACCGCTTAGAAAGGGCTGAAAGCCCTATGAAGCGGTATATAAGTCTAACTGCTATTGCTATTGCTATGTCTGGCTGTAATTAAGATTTCTCTCTTGTGAACCAAATTAACTGCCCTATCTTTAAAAGCTAGTTCACTTTAAGACAGAAAATTGAATCAAATAATAAAGTAGGATGGAAGTGGGAATCAAGAATGAATCTAAAGATGAGTAGACCTCTTATTTTGCAGAAAAGTTATTTTTCAGCCCAAAGGAGAAATGTGAAAGAATAGCAATGAGAAATCAATGATTTGTAGGAGCAGTGTAATTTTGTTTCATATAAAAAAATGCCAGCTGAGAGGGCTTGAGAGGCTGTTCAGTAAGAAGGTCTGTCTATGGAGATCCTTCTTGAGGCTTCTTATCTATCAAGATGACTTCACTACCCGTGCTCAATTCCTACAAATTCCCAGAGGCAAGTTAAGGAAGTACTTTCTCTTTTTCAACACAGTGATAAAAAATTTATCACCTTATAGATTACCCTTTGAAAAAACTGTGATTATCTACCAACTTGCTTCCAGTTCTAAATCAGCTCCTGAAATTACATTACTTACCCGCCTTAGCTGCTTTATATTACTTCCACGGATTGCCTCCATAAGATCACTGTGGAGTGATCTTACTGGGGTAGAAGGTCGGCTTGAAGGACGTGATCCTTCTTCTGATACATTGTCTGGGATGGACTTTAATGAATTTTTAATTTCTTTTAATATTGTATTCTCATATTGTTTGTTTTTCTTGCTTTTTTTCTTCTTCTGCTTATTTTGTAGACCCCTCTTGGCACTTTCCTGCTGTTTTATAACCTCAGCAATATTCCTGGTGGGTGCTTTTTTCTCTACAACTATTTGAGGAGGAGGAGGTGGTGGCGGAATAAGAGGAGGAGGAGGAGGTGGTGGTGGAGGAGGAGGAGGTGGTGCAGTTGGTGGCGGAGGTGGTGATTGTGATGGGAATGGAGATTGGTTTTTAATAGCAGTGGCTTTCTTTAAAATCTTTGGAGAAGGCATAGGTGACCTTTTGGGAGGTGAAAGCTGGTTTTGAGGAGCTGAAATTTTCTTAGAAGTCTTTGGAGAAGACCAAGGTGAATTTCTAGGAGATGAATACGGTGAAGAACCAGGAGTTCCCTTCTGCAATGCTTTGTTCTTTGGATTGAGTGCTCCATCCCAACTGGACTGTTGTTCTTTCTGTTCTTGCATTCGTTTCTGTCTTTGTTTATCCATATTTCTTGTCAGAATGCTTGTCATAGTCATTCTTGGTCCAGCAAGCTCAAAGTGATAGCCTAATTTCACAATAGTAGTATTGTCCCTTAAAAGTTTAACCATGTCCATTTCAGCCTGACTGCCCATTATGTGCCTTTGGTTATGGAATCGTAATTCTGTTAAAATTTTGTTATTCTGTAAAGCCCTCATGATTGCAATAATTCCTTTGCCTGTGATAAAATTAGAATCTAGATTCAGACTCACAATGTGTTCATTCTCCTTTAGCATACCTGCAATAGCCATTGCAACACTGTCATCAGCATGAGTATTAGCCAGATTAAAAGTCTTCACTACAGTGTTCTTCCGTAGAGCCTGAGAAAAATGTGTTAGCATCTGTGGTGTGATATTTTCAATATTGTTTAAATTTACCTCAGTAGTTTCGGTATCATTGTTCCTAACATTTTCTAATGCATCTTCAATCACTGTTGGGTTTCCACATGGATGCATGGCTCCCATCCTGTATTCCGCTTCCTTTTCATTGTGACCATTGGTAACAATTTCACTTTCATTGTAGTTTTTAAGTTTAATGTTGAGTGAAGTTTGCTTCTTAGTATTTGGAAGTTTTTCACACTCTTCAACCGATTCCTCTTCATCATCTGTACTACTTGCTTCTTCTTCTCTGTCATCTTCTTCACCCTCTTCCTCTTCCTCATATTCCTCATTGTTCTTCTCATCCTCTTCATTCTCATCCTCTTTGTCCTCTTCATCATCTTCTTCAGTGTGTGCTTCTTCAGAAATTTCACTGTTACTTCCTCTAAAATATTCTTCTTTAATTTCTTCTGACCCATCATCATCATCATCTTCTTCTTCTTCTTGCTTATAATCCTACAAGGGAATCATGGTTCAGTTATGATCAAAAGTAAATGATAAAAATATGCTTTATCTGTAAAGGTCCTCAAATTTCATTCCAATGAGCTTTCATGATGATCTTTTCNGTCAAATTGTTTGTATCCACCCTCCCTTGTTTTGAGTTGTGAGCCGCCCTGAGTCCCCCTTGGGGGAAAAGGGCGGCATACAAATGAAATAAACAGTTAAACAGTTAACAGTTACTTGATTGGGGAAACTAGCTCTTGAATTTTATAGCTGCTGTTTATAACTGCTACCATACACACAGAGCATGGCACCAAGCATTTCTAGCCCTTTTCATGTAATGATCATAACACCCAGAGGTGATATTCAGCAGGTTCTGACCAGTTCTGGAGAACCTGTAGTGGAAATTTTGAGTAGTTCAGAGAACTGGTAAATACCACCTGTGACTGGCCCTGCAGCCATCTATTCTCTGCCTCCTGAGTCCCAGCTGATAAGAGGAAATGGGGATTTTGCAGTAACCTTTCCCTGGAGTGGGATGGGAATGGAAATTTTACAGTATCCTTCCCCTGCCATGCCCACCAAGCCATGACCACAGAACTGGTAGTAAAAATGTTTGAATTCCACACAAATACTCACCAAATCTTCAGCATAGAAAGATTCTTCTCACATTAACACTTAGTACTCCTTAACCAATATAATAGTTTTCACAACAAACCAAGACAAATACTTTTTTTTTCCACTTGGAAACTCAAAACACATTTATTGCAAATGTATAATGCAGGCAAAGAAACACAGATAATTGAACAGGTGCTTTTTTTTAATAGAAAGGACATGTTCCATGAAGTGCTACTTGATATCAACATAAATAACTACATAAACTAGTTCTTCTGAGGAATCTTATTAAATTAAAAAAAGTACTCTCAATATTTACAAAAACACTGTTGAAGTCTCAAAGTATTGCTTGAAGTTTCAAAGGCACTTTTTATTTACGTTTCAAATCTAAGAATGTACTTTGAAGCGGTTTATCACTGTAGAATGATTGAGTTGAGTACCTCTCTTTGAGAATTTGTACAAATCTTCCTTTCATTGTGTTGTCTGACATTTACCGCAGAGCTTCTGGGATTTCCACCTAAAAAGAAAGATGTTTTGCTTAAATTAGGAACATGAACTAGAATTAAAAGAATAAATCATCTAAGTAGTGAAAAACCCACGTTTCAATGTCCTATTGCACTGTGTATTGTAATAGTAAAGACATATAGATGTTTTAGATACGTATTGGACTTCATGGCAAGGATGTAAAACAGTGTGATCTCAAAGTGAGCATATGTGATAAAAAATTAGAATCCCTGCTGAGAGGTGAGGAGATGCAGCAAAATGTATATCTGAAGTTGCATAAGTTGATTCACTCCTTAAAACTCATTAAATCCCCTCTTAAATTGAGGACTTTTCCATCCATTATTGCAGGGGTCTCCAGACTTGGCATCCTTAAAACTTGTGGGCTTCAACTCCCTGAATTTCTCAGCCAGTAGGGCTGGTTGAGGAATTCTGGGATGAACTCCATAAGTCTTAAAGTTGCCAAGTTTTGAGGCCCCTGCCCAGAATGGCCTTTATGATCTGCAAAAATCATGGTAGCTATGTCCCTTTGAATAACATAATTCTACTTCTCTTTATGCTTTTCAAAAGTAGGCCCCCAAAGTTTGGGCCACAGCTTCTACCATGGGTTTGGCTTGGCTAATCTGCAGAGGGCATTGAAGTATTTAACAGATGAAATGGGCATTTTATACATCTCAACTCCCCTCTTCAGATTGGGGTTGATTTTTCCCATGGAAAGTTAAAGTCAAAATAAGTGCTTCAAGTTAAAAGGACCTTTCTACTTAGAATCCCTCCTGAAATATACATACCAGTAATGCATTGCAGGCAGTACGCCTCAGTANGCAAGCTCAACGAGGAAGCCAGATTCACTTAACAACAGTATTACTAATTTAACAACTGCAACTGTGGCAATAAAGGTCACAAAATAGGGCAAAACTCACTTAACAACTGTCTCACAGAAATTTTGGGCTCAATTGTGGTTGTAAGTCAAGGACTACCTCCACTTTTCTTTCTTTTATGTCTTGATTCCTGCCACCTGCCTGGACAGTCTTGCAGTTTTGTGTGTCAAGATTTTCAGAAGTCGTTTCCCATTGCCTCCTTCCTAGGGCTGAGAGAGAGGTTCTGGCCCAAGTTCCCCAGCTGGTTTCATGTCTCAGGAGGGACTAGAACTCACAGTCTCCTGTTTCTAGCCTGATGCTATTAACCACTACACCAAACTGCCTCTCATTGTCTTCAAGTCAGGGTTGATTCTTGCTGATTGCATTAAGTGCAGTCGCATTTTTCTTGGTGGCCTTTTCAGAAGTGATTTGCCAGGGCCACCTTGAGGGAGAATGAGTTGCTTTTGTGTCTACAGAAGGATTAAAACTCACTGTTGTCTGTTTTTTAGGCTGATGCCTTTAATTACTTGCCCAAACTAACCATCGAAAGCTCTACGATATTTCAAAATTCTTCCAGCCCCTTCAACATTTATCTGCTGCCCAATCCATTGTGGTGGGGAATTTTAGGTCTAGAAGAAACCTTCCTGGAGGAGATCAGCTCTCCAATGCTGATCTAAGCCAATGTCGACAAAACTTTATTATGGCCAGAGCCAGCAAAACAGACAAGGGGGAAAAAAAGTAGAGAGAAATATAGAAAATAAGCAAGCTTTACATGGGTGGAACTTGCAACCACTCAGAAAGCTCAGGCTGCCCAAGGAGCTAATACAGTTCTACAGAGTAGTTATCCGTACTTCTCTAACTATCTGGTTTGATACAGCAACCAAACAGGACAACTACAGACTTCAACAGATAGCTAGGATGCAGGAAAAAACAATTGCAACTAGCCTACCTTCCATGGAGGAGGACCTGTATATTACATGGGTCAGAAAGTGGGCTGAGGAACTATCTACAGGCCCATCAAAGAATAGAAATAATAGAAATAGACATAGACCTTAGAGGTCTTCTAGTCCAACCCACTGCTCAAGCAGGAGACCCTATAAAATTTCAGACAATTGGCTGTTCGGTCTCTTCCTAAAAACTTCCAGTGATGGACCACCCACAACATCTGAAGGCAAGCTGTTCCATTGGTAATGGTTGTCACTGTTAGGAAGTTTAATTCCAGGTTGCTTTTCTCCTTGATTAGTTTTCATCTACTGTTTTTTGTTCCAAAGCCTTTTGGTGCTTTGGAAGATAAGTTGACACCTTCCTCTTTGTGGCAGCCCTTCAAATATTGGAAGACTGCTATCATGTCACTCCTAGTCCTTCTTTTCTGTAGACATCCTGAACATAAACTGTTTTAATTCCACCCCCCTCCCTTGGATGCCATATAGGACATTGCATGCCAAAATAAAAAACAAAAAAACCCCATCACAGAGACAGTTTTTTTTGCTCATGCCATCACTTTGCTGAACATCTGATTTCCACAGCACTGTCTTATGTCTGAGGATATTTACCCATGTAGTAGGGCTGTATTGTTATTATCCTTCTCATCTTTTCTACTATCTTCTTTAATTGGCCTCTTATGGTTATTCTTACTTTGTTGTTTTGCATGTACGCTGAGAGCTTATGCCTTGGAGACAAATTCCTTGTGTGTCCAATCACATTTGGTCAATAAAGAGTATTCTAATATTCTTGATTTTAGGAAATGTTTCATGTTCTTGAAGTCAGTGTTAAAGTGTCCTTCAGATTGGCTGGCATTTGGGACAAAAATAGGGAAAACAGGGTTTTAAATGTCAACTAGACAAGGCACGGCCCATGGGTCATCCTTTCAGCGATAATTCCTCACCAGATTCCTCAATGTGTTTAACGATGACAGTGCTTCTAATGTCTTCAATGGTACAAATTCTTTAAAATTTAGATAGATACTCAGAGATGTATTCCATGTAGATGGTACAGGTACTCCTCAACTTACGACCACGATTGAGGCCAAATTTCTGTTGCTATGTGAAATGTTTGTTAAGTGAATATTGCCCCATTTCATGACCTTTTTTGCCAAGTTGTTGTGAATCCCTGCAGTTCTTAAGTTAATAACACAGTTGTTAAGTGAAACTGGTGTCCCCATTGACTTTGTTTGTCAGAAGGTTGCAAAAGGGGATCACGTGACCCCATCACTGCAACTGTCATAAATGTGAGTCAGTTGTCAAGCATCCATAAATCACGTGACCATGGAGATGCTGCAACGCCAATGCCCATAAGTGTAAAAAAATGTGAAAAATGGTCACAAGTCACTTTTTTCAGTTCCATTGCAAGTTCACTAAGTGAACTGTTTTAAGTCAAGGATTATCTGTATATAGATTGTCATGTGGATTTGAAAAAAGTCCATGCAGAATTAGGAGACAACAGATGTGCAAATGGGAACATCTATAGGGAGATCAAAATGGCAGGGGGCATAATTGTGCAAAGTCCTGACATTTTTCATACATGTTGCAGGTAAAACAGGTGAAGCTTTGATCACACCATCACAGCCATTTAAACTTTTCTAATCATAGCTTGTAGATACTCTTGTTATTGTTGAAAAACAAATCGGTTGGCTGCACAACACGCTGAGCAGGCAGTGTGTCACAGCTGCCAAAAAAGCCAACACAGTCCAAGGCTGCATTACCACTTTATAATGCCTTGGTAAGACCATACATGGAATACTGGACCCAGTTTTGGTCACCATGATGTAAACAAGATGTTGAGACTCTGGAAAGAGTGCAGAGAAGAGAGACCAAGATGATTCAGGGGCTGGAGGCCAAAACATATGAAGAAGAGTTGCAGGAATTGGGTAAGTTTAGTTTAATGAAAATAAAGACTAGGGGTGGCATGATAGCAATGTTGGAAGGGCTGCCACAAAGAAGAGGGGGTCAACTTATTCTCCAAAGCAGCTGAAGGCAGAAAAAGAAGCAACCGATGGAAACTATACAAGGGGAGAACCAACCTAGAACTAAGGAGAAATTTCCTGATAGTAAGAACAATTAATCAGTGAAACAACCTACCTCCATAAGTTGTGGGTGCTCTAACAATGGAGGTTTTTTAGAAGAGATTGGACAATCATTTGTCTGAAATGGTATAGGTTTTCCTGCTTGAGCATGGGAGTGGTCTAGAAGATCTCCAAGGTCCCTTCCAACTTTGTTACTCTGCTATTTTATTATTCTGATACAGGAAATGAGACTTATAAGGAGCCATATTGTCTGTGGCCCTTCCAGAAATCTGATATGGTTATACTAAACCAGAGTGTCAAACTCAATTTCATTGAGGGCCGCATCAGGGTTATATTAGATCTCGGGGTGGGGGGGGTGTTGTGGTTTGGCCAGCGGGCATGGCCAGCTCAATGTGTCCGGGGTGCCTGTGGCGGCCTAAGTGCTCTGCCAGCTAAAACGGACTCCCAAGTTCTGTTCTTGGCTACGACGGCCTCTTGCAACTCTCTGCCAGTGAAAACAGAGGCCAGGAGGGTGCATGCAGCCGTCCCAAGCTCCATTTTCACTGGCAGAGGCATCACAGCTGTTTCCAGGGCAGCCCCGTCGGCCTTGAATTTGACACCCCTGTGCTAAACTGAGAGCAGAGATGAAACAGACTGGCATAAATGAATATCCCCTTGAAGAATTTCACAGAATGTCAGGTCTGATGGCTTACTACTTGGGCCCCTCTAATTTCAATCCAAAAAGTGATTGAAATCATGATAATGATTCCGTGATCACATTTCTAAATGACTTTTGGTCTTGAATAGCCCTCGTAAATCTGCCTTTTTATTTCATGCTGACCTTTCAGTTTAATGTTATGATGATATTTATTTTGGTAAGTGCTGGCATCTTCATTTATACTGGGAGAATGAGCCTGGTTAGACAAACTCGGTATAAGCCATTTTTTTCCTAGAAAGCTGAGCTTAATTCAGAACCTGGTTTATTTCAAGGAGAAGCAACAGGGAAGGGTTTTCCTTTGAACAGCTGCCTGGCTAAAAAGCAATCAAAAGTTCCAACGATGTCTCCACCAAATGCATTTATTGCCATTTCCAGACTGGAGTTTAAAGAGACAGAAAGTTCAAAATGTTCATGAGAATTGATGGTGGGACAATAGAAGTGGATTCTCTGCGCCTTCCTCACGGCTAATGGGCTCGTCTTGCAACACTGGAGAGAGAAATTTACGACCTCAATTTCTCAACAGACCTGATGCTACCTGAACAGGCTGCTTATTGTAGTGATTATAATGAAATACAGCCAAACTCTATTAAAACTGCTACCTAAATCTTTATATAGACTAGAAATTCCATAGAAGAGAATATAATGCATGTAGAAGGTCCCTTCCAGCCCCGATTCTATATCATCTAGAATACATTATATTGTCCATAAAACCCACTTCCTCTCACACTGATGATGTTATCTAATCGGGTAATGAGATGTCAGCACGAAATCAAGCAAACTCTGAGAATATCAAAACTCTATCTGATATCACTTAAATATGAGACAATAGTGTGTGGCAGCAGCCAAAAAAACCCAATGTAATCCTTGGCTGCAGTATTTGAGGGGCTCCTATAAAGACAAGGGGGTCAAACTATTTTCCAAGGCACCAAAAGGCAAGGCAAGACCAGACAAGAAACAATGGATGGAAACTAATCAAGGAGAGAAGCAACCTAGAACTAAGGAGAAATTTCCTGATGGTGAGAACAGAAGTTGCCTTCAGAAGTTGTGGGGGCTCCATCACTGGAGACTCTTAAGAAAAGACTGGGGGGGAGGAGCTGTCGCCGAGGAGGGCTCATCCGAGCTCCTCTCAGAGATCTGGTCTGTATATCTAAATAAGATCATAGATATCACCCCTTTTTGGCTATAAAGGGGCAGGGAGCAG